GGGATATTAGTGGTGAGCTCATTCTCATTCAGAGAGGGTGAGCAATGTATTTACTAAACCAAAATTCCTGAAAACTGTTGAGTAAACTCACCAAAGAATTTTCATTAGGAATTTTGCTTGCTGTTTCTCCAGGAGGTTTTAGATGCTGTTTGCTAGATTGAAAGGTGGAACTGACCAAACAGCATGTGAAGAGAGCTGTCCTACAAGATCTCATTCATTTTTGTACCCTTGAAAAGTGTTACTGTCCTGGCTGCTGTTTTAGAGCATGATTTACTGTTGTAAATATTCTAAGATTTAGGGGATGGGAGCATTTGTGTAAGACTTTAAGGCTCCAAAGGGGTGGGGGGAGAAAAAAAGGGTTGGTAACTGTTGGATTCATTTGACAAATAATAACACTATTTAAAGTGAATAGAGTGCAGGTTGGTTTCCACCTCCAGTATTCCACTGTGGTGCCATTCAGGGAGGCCTGGACAGGCTGGAGAGCTGGGCAGAGAGGAACTAATGAACTTTAGCAGCTGTCTGCCCCTGGGGAGGAATACCCCCATACAGGCTGGGGCTGATCTGCTGGAAGGCAGCTCTGTGAAAAAGCCGCACCTACCCTGGTGGACTCCTGTCCATGACCAGCAGTGTGTCCTTGTGGCCAACAAGGCCAATGGGATCCTGGGTGCATTGGGAAGAGGTGAGGGAGGTGCCCTGCCCCTCTGCTTGGCCCTGGTGAGGTTCTGTGTGCAGTTCTGGGCTCCTGGGTTCAGACATGGAGCACCTGCAGTGAGCCCAGAGAAGGCCTGTGAAGATGATGAGGGACTGGAGCATCTGTCATACAACCAGAGGTTGAGTGAGCTGGGCCTGTTTAGGCTGGAGGTGAGAAGACTGAGAGGGGACCTCATGAGGGCACACAAATATGTTAAGGGTGGGTGTCAGAAGGATGGGACCAGGCTCTTCAGTGGTGTCCAGAGCAGGACAAGGGACAGAGGGCACAAACTGAAACACAGAAAGTTCCATCTGAATAGGAGGAGAAACTTCTTTAGTGTGAAGGTGACTGAGCACTGGAACAGCCTGCCCAGAGAGGTTTGGAGTCTCCCCCATGGAGATATTCCAAACCTGTCTGGATGTGATCCTGTGCAGCCTGCTCTGGGTCACCCTGCTTTGGCAGGGCACTGGGCTGGGTGATCTCCAGAGGAACCTCCCCACCCCAGCCATTCCATGATTTTGTGTGAATGGTTGCCCCTGTATGTGCAAAGGCTTCTGTGTTTAGGAGGAAGAGATCAGACACAGTGCCATATTCCAAGTAAAGCAAGCTGAAAGTAGATTTAATTAAGCTTAGGTAATAGTTGTGAGGGAAAAGGCAGTCCAGTCAAGCAGTTCAGATCATAGGGGGCTGTAGCTTTAAATGACTGCAAAATAACCTGAATGTAAATGATTCTTTTATCTTGGTGCCAGGTAATGTTTGTGCAGAACATGCAAAGCAGGGGAAGAAGGAACAAGCCTACAATGTCAGCTTATCCAGGTTTATATTGCTCTCTCTTGAACTATGAGTTCAATCCCCTTCCCCTCCTGCAAAGGGGAGAGCTTATCACAGGGCAATAAAGGTGTTTCCTCTGACAGTGTCTGGGATGGAGGATGAGTGTGGGCATGGGCACATTCCTGATGGGATTTTGCCTTGTTCCTGTGGATGACAGCAATCAGCACTTTAGTTTTATCCACACTGTGGCATGGATGGGAGCAGAGCTGGCCTGCAGGGTCTGGTTTCAGTGTCTGAGGCCAGGGAGAGCCCTCATGTCCCAGAGTGGGGAGTGCTGCTGACACTTGGTGGCTTTCTGTGCAGTGCTGGCCTGTCATCTGAGGTGAGTTACGTAAGGCTGGCAATGCCAGCTCAGCCTGTGTACACTGCTAGTTTATTTTTCCTCCTACAGTAACAGATAGCAGTGAGCTTGTACCAGCCTGCTTGATAACCACCAGAAATCCCGTTCCTTACTATTCAAGTGCAGTGAGATAAGCAGTGTTCAAGACACAGTATTTTTGTTTTTTCTGAACATGCAAGATAGGCTATCAGATACTCCTCTTACATGCCTGAGGAGCCAGGTGTGCCAAACTGGTACAAAATGGTTGCAATGTAAACTGACAGTGCCTTTCATGTTAAAGAACAGGAGATAGCTTGATCTCCTAATGCCTTTTTTGCTGATGGAGGGGTTGGAGGGGTGCCAGGGGAATACCTCTAGCTCCTTTGGCATAAGGCACAACTGTTACTGCTCTGTGCTGCAAGCACCATATCTTGTAGATAAAAACAATGATCCAGGCACCAAGGCTGGAGTTGTATTTGATCTCCTGAAAGAACCTTCAGATAGCATTTCTGCTCTGGTGCTGTGGTTAAGGAGAACCTGTTCATTCTTTGATAATTCAAACTCCAAAGTCTGCACTTCCCTTATTTTTTTTTCTTTTTTTAAAAAATATATATGAAACATTGAAAATCAAAAGTAATTTCTTCCATTCTCCTTTTTCTGAGTGGGTGGCTTAAGTGGTTGCCAGCTGGGCTGTTGAAATGGATTGGTGATCCCACCAGCAGCAAGGATGGGGTGGGGGTATTCCCAAATGGAGTGCTGGGAGCACTGGGGTGAGCTGTGCTGGTCCTGGGGAGAAGCAGTGTGGCCATAGCAAAGGCACTGTTTGCACAAGGTGCTCTCTGGAAAGAGTGCAGGAATACTGGTAAAACTGTGGGCACCTAATTTCAGTCTGATTAAAGATGGGGCAAAACTTCAGACTCTGAGAAAGCTGGGGGGAAAAAAATTATGGGATCCAAAATGCTGGAGGCTGTGTTTGGCATGCTGGCTTCTTCATTGTTCTGGTTTTAACAGTTGGCAATAGAATACATACTTTTGGTTACATCTTGCATTGCCACCCCTCTAATACCTTGTTCCTGCCTGAGGCCAGGCCTGTCAGGACCCCTGTCTGGGCTGGTGGTCCCAAGGCCACCATAACGTGTTTCAGTTCCTGTCATAATGGCACCTAAGCAGCAGCTCAGGCTGTATTGGGTGGGGGTGATCCTCTTGCTTTTGTTACAGAAGCACAGAAGTTGTCACAAACAGGTGCTGAGGGAAGTGGCCGCTCACTGCTGCCCTTGTGCCAGTGTCAGGGCCACCAGCTGGCCACCATGTGTGTTCATGCAAAGCAGAGCTGAAATGGCAGCTGGAATCTCTGGGGTTGAGAAGAGTCAGTGAGGACTGAAGCTGTCATCTGATTACATCCTTGCGAACTATGCACTCTGAAACTTAAATGGAATATGTTTGTTTCTTTAAGGGTGAAACTTTTTCACAAAGGATGGCTTAGTAGCTGGAATGGTTTTGCAGGCTGATGGTGACATTTCATTAATAGGAATTGCTACTCTGTGTCTTGTGTTGTGCATGTGTGGTTACAAGATAGATTTACTGTGAGACATGCAGAAATATAGGGAATTAGGGTTTGTTTGCTTTTTTTTTGACAGACTTTTTATTTTCTCATTGTTGCAGCCTGTTCTTCCACACTTTCTTCCACGCTTATGAAAAAGCAAGTTTCAGCTTTTGACTTTGCTTGCTGCTAACACCTGACTCCAGCTCATTTTATATGTGATCTATAAGCCCTAGTTCATCCTTAAGAGCAATTGCAGTCTGGGAGACTTATTTTTTTCTCTTCTCTGTGTGATGCCGTTGTCTTTATGAGGAGCTTTCTGAATAAAATATGAGTTTTGTTCCACTGAGGAAAGTTGCTTGCTGTGTTGGATCACAAGCATTGTGTGAACAAGCTGGAAAACTAATAAACACTTCTCCAAGGACAGCCTTTGTGGTTTAACACCAATCCTAGGGTTTTTTAGTAGCTGAAAATTGAATAACTTTCAGCAGAGGGAAATCACTTGAGTAACTCAGCAGAGGAAAAAACAATTGGTCTTCCCGTTAAAGAGTGTTTGGCCGGGGGGTTAGCTAAAAATAGCACTTTGTAACAGTCTTTATTCTTCCTCATGCAATGTCTATTCTGAATGTTTTGCAGGTGATGGTTTAATGCAGTGAGACTCCTGATTAGCTGGTCTCAGATCTACTTTTCTTGTATTTAGTTTTGGGAGAGCAGTGATAATTTACTCATCTCCCTTTTTTCCCCCCTCTTAAGAGCCTCTCTGTTATATTGGGACTTTCTAATGTTTCTGCAAATGGTATCCTCAAGCCCTTGCATGTCACTGAAATGAAACCAGTTTGCTCTGGTCTGTGCTTGACTGGAGTTGCTTGAAATTTCTTCCTACCATAAACACCTTGGTTCCTTTGACTTGCTGTGGTGTTCAATTAAGCCAATGAAACCTGTTGTTAAAATCAGGATGGCATTTGGTATCTTGCCCCCAACTGTTTGAAAGTGGAGCACATCTCCCTTCATATTTGCTTTCCTCTGAATCTCAGTAGAAACTCATAAAAACACTTAGACTTCACAGTGTAATTTCCCTCAATAATTTCTCTATTGCTGCTGAAAATACAGAAGTGAAGGGTGATCTATATCTTTGATTGCTTGGTGTCTGGGGAAGTACTCAAAAGTACTGTCAAATTTAGAAAAGAGGTGCTAAGAAGCAGCAGGAGGGAGTTGGATCCATTACAGGAAGCAATCCCTACACAGATATCACAATCCCCAGTGACCTTACTCTGCAGAGGATTTATTTTTAACTTCCTGTAGTTCAAAGGCATGTTAAAATGTAAATCACCAAAGTGTTGTGTCTAAAATAGGACAGTCTGTGTCCTATATAGGAGTGAGGAATGCTGTGGAGAGGAATGAATCCTAAACGTGGTTCACTTATGCTCACAGGTAATGGCACACACTTTGAGCTGGACAAACACACAGAGGTGACACTTGTTCCATCAGTTCATATTGAATCTATAAATACTATTTAGAAGCTTCCCACAGCCATTTCTTTAGCACTTGTAGCAGGACATCTAAGACAATGCCCCTTTTACAACAGCTGGGAACTGAGCATGGCTTCCCCTTCTCTGCAGGTGCTGAGAAGATTGTGGCAATCATGATTGGCAACCTGAAGGGCATGGAGATCCTGCGGCGGATCCAGAGCGGCCTGAGGGTCTCCATGGTCATCGAAGTGGGCAAAAAGCGCAGCCTGTCCATGAACATCTTCACCATCCTCTTCATCTCTGTGTCCTTCTTTGTGGTGGCAGCAGCAACTGTGGGCTGCTATGTCTCTTACTCTGCCCGGAGGCTCATCATGGCCAGGGCCCAGTCCAGGGAGCAGGTGAGTTTGTGCTGCTGTTTCTTTGTACCCCCACCCCTCCATGGTGTGGATCTTGAGGTTTGCAAGTTTTGGTTAAGTACCAAAATTACTGAATTTGTTTGATCTTTAAAATGCTAAGAGATACATCTTTGCTCAGCTTAAAACTTTCCTAAGGAGCAGCCAAGAGTAAACTGCATAGAGAAAAGTTGATTGTGCTCAGCTAACTGTGTTTCCTACAAATACTCCCTGAACTGCAGTGTAGCCCTAATGCTGATGTGGTGGGGGCTGTGAGAGAGCTAAACTGCTTTCAGCTGACCCTCATCCTTCCCACACAGCACTGCCTATGGGCTTGCCACAACAGGAGACACGACTGCAAGTGTGTCTGCAAAATGGGGCATGACTTTACTACATGTTGGGAGGCTGCTGCTTGCTGAAAGCTGCTTACTGACTGAAAGCTTTCTGAGAATTACAGTGGCAGACTCAGGGTTGGAAATACTGGAAGTTGTCATCTGCCTGTGAGATGTAGCATTGCCATTCCTGGATGAAGTGTGGAGTTGTCTCTAAGCTGATGCTGTTCTCTTGCTGACTTTTATGGACAGAGATGCAGCCTCCTGCTGATGAATCCCTTCCTTCAATACCCTGCCATCTATCCTCACAGCTCTGAGTGTCACAGCTCTGTTAAACAAATCTGAGCAGGAAAATCTGGGTGCCCTATGCACTGTTCATTAAATCAAATGTAAATGTTTCCTCCTTTGAAGGTACTTAAGAGTGCAGTTGTGAGCTATAAGGCTTTCAAGAAACTGCAGATGTTATTAATGCCTCAGTGATAGCTGGGTCTGGGAAAATCCAGTCTGCTTGGCTAGCAGTCTTGGGTTCCATGTGCACAAGCAGCTTGCTGCAGATTGACAAAATAGCATTGATAAATGACATGCCAGTTCCAGATGATTTCAGCAGAACTGAAATCAAGGAGCCCCAAGAAGTGCTTTGTGGAGTATACGAATACAAGAAACCTTCTCTACTGTCAAGGTGTAAAAATATACTGTTCTGTCAAAGTGAAACTCAAAGACAATCCAGAATTGTTTTCAATTGTGTTTATACCCTGACATCTCAGACTGCCCTCATAGTGATTAGGTAAGGAAAGAACAACAAGAAAATGCCTGTTAGTTCAGGTGAACTAGTAAAAGGTGATGTTGCCATGTGCCCTATTAGCTGCTGACTGGATTTTAGTGTAGATCAGAGTTTGAGAGTTCTAAGTGCTTTGGCTCCAGGAATACTGAATATTAGTCAAACAACCTCCTGGCTTGTGTGGTACATCTTGGTGGCTTTCCTGTCACCATGCAGCCCTGTGCTTGGACTTGAGTGAATATTGAGAAAAGCCAGTCATGTGAGCTTCTGATCCAAGTGAAAAGAGAAGTTTGGTAGCACATCTGTCCTAACCCAACAGTTAAACCAGAGCAGTTCTTTCCTCTTGAGCAAGCTACACTGTGCAACCTGCTGGTTCCTTCTTGAATGCCTCTTTCCTTCTGGGCCTGAAATTCCAGTCTCCCCCTCTGCAGTTTCTTCCTGCATTGGGAGATCAGTAGCAGGAAGGTGGAGAATTGAGGCAAATGTGGTAGGTGGCTTTCTACCTTTCTAGTCAGTGGAGTACTGACAAATTCAGTTCTCAATATAGTAACCTTTCTTAATAGAGCAAAATGACCCATGATGTTATCTGTGGCCTGGTTTCTAATTTCAGCTCAAGTCTTTGCTTCCTTTGATTTCATAAAGATTAGATGTTGCAGCTGAGAAATTACCTAATTAATGGCTTTGGAGGAGGCAAATTGCTCAACTTTCCAACAATTCTAAACTGCTTCAATGGCAATCGCCACCTGTGGGGAAGAACTTCCTTAGCTGACAGGAGAAAAGCAGGAGTTCCCAGCCTCCTCAGAGCTGCCTGGTCTGCACTGCCATGGCCATGCTCCCAGGCTGCCAGGAAGGCACCCTTGTGCAGAAAGGGCTGGAGGTGAAATTGGCAGCTTGAACAAGGAAGACTTGGGACTGAGTGACTCCAAACCTAATTTTCCCATTTGGATATCTCACTACTTCTACCTGCCAGAGCCTGGATAGGAGTTGGGACCTGACCTGTTTTGTAATATCTTGATTCTATTTCTTCAACTTACCTTTTTTTTTAGCTTTTTCTGTGTTGAGGATTTTATAGTTCTAATATAATTCATGTTTCATATTCTCTTGAAAAACCTGGCTTTACAAAATGCTTTGACATTCCAAGCTCGAGTATCCTGGTAGACTATTCCACATAAAGCTTCTTCTGCAACCTTTCTCCATCCCCTGGAGGGGTGTTCTGCTGTGTTCTTGCCAAAATCAATGTTAAAGGTGACTTTGTCATTGATGCATTTAACGAGGAGCAATTAAACTGGTGCCCATGCAAAACTTAAAATATTGTTTCAAGTAAATTATTAACAGTGCAGCCAGTTGGGTCCTGTCTAATATGCTTGGCCTGACATAGATGTGTAGATGAGATATTGTCTGAGGGAGTACATTCCTAGAAAGTTTCATTTTCAGTTAATAACAAGTGGTGGTGACAGTGCTGGCCATGTATGAGAAGTGCTTGCTTTGCTGCATTCCTGCTCAGTTGATGTTTCCACGTTTGCTGCTCAGATTTTTGGGGCCCTCAGCAAGCAGGAGTATTGTGGCTGCTGCCCTTGGCTTCAGCCTCAAACCTTGACAAGGGCAACATCACTTCAAAGTTAACCATAAGTGACATACAGAAACATATATTGATGCCTTCAGCGGAACTTTACAAACTTGCAAGAAAACCCCAGTAGTTCTTGTTTCTAAACAAAGAATTGTGCATGTCTGCATCCCTTACCTTTGGATTGTATGTGTCTCTTCCTTGATAGCTGTTAATAGCTGCTAGCTATTAAACTCCTAAAACCAATACTAATACAAAAGTAGCTCATTTTGTGCTAGGATATTTGACAGGTTCCCAGGGGGATGTATAAATCAACTTGTTTGCTATTAACTGCTTTAGCACAAGGAATCTTGTGCAGACTCGAATGGCCAGTCCTTGCAAGATTGTTTGGTGTCAGCAACAGCCCTCGTCCCACTTGTCCTTCTGTACTTGTGCCACCAGTACTGCACTTGGAAAAGTGCATGGAAAAGTTTCCTGTAACAGCTAAAATGCCTAAGGAATGGAATGCTGGAACGGCAGCAGAGTGGGGCTCCTGCACAGAGCAGTGGAACTGGAAAGAGGCTTTTTGGTTAGCTGCAAAACTCGAGTCTGGTCTGTCCCTGAGGTTAGTGCTGTGCTGGGGATGGCACTGCCAGAGCTGCTGAAGTGCACCAGGCAGGGAGAGGACAGTCCCATTCTTGGAGTCAGGAACACCAACCTGTGACCCTTACACAGAGCTCGGCTCTGGGCTAACCCCAGGCGCTGCAGTGACAGCTGGACAGCAACAGTTGCCAGGCAAGCTGTAAAGCAGTGGGAGCAGTGGAGCAGTTCAGGGTGTATGGTGCTGAGTGGGCTGATTGGCAAAGAATCTTTCACCTTTCCTCAGAATGATTGTGGCAGGAAGGTGTCCTAAGGTGAGCATAACATAAACAATTGATTGTTGAACTCCACGTTCAGTCTTCGGTTCCAAGTCAGTTTGAAAGCTTCAGTTTGTTTTGGCTGGGTCTAAGTGATCAAGGTATTATCTTGCATCTTCTCAAACTAAAAAACACTTATAATTCCTGTGCTTTGTGAGAAGGTTAGCTACAACCAAGTAGACATAAATGTGTGTCTGGTGTGTCATCCAGTCAGGAGCTGCATCAGTATGTCCCAAAACTCCATTTCATGTTGACTTCAAACAGTATGGTCATGCTTACTTGGCTTATTCTGATAACATCTGGGTTTTTAAACTGTTGCTTTTAAACTGCTTGCAGTGGGCACCTGGGTAAGTATTAGTAAATGAACAGTGGGATGGCAGTGTCTGACCAGGACTGCTTTGTGTCACAGCGGCGGCTGAGGGCCAGGGCCAAGAAGGCCATTGAGCAGATGCAGCTGCGCACCCTGAAGGAAGGGGACAAGGTAGGACTGACCCTGTGACCCCCCTGCATTCAGCACAGCCTGGCATGAAACCTGGGCAGCTCCCTAGCACTGGAGCAGGAGGCAGAGGCCTCTCTGAGCCTGTAACTCTTGGTGGCAGACACAGTTCCTCCTTCAGACCAGGTCCTTTTCCAGGCCTCAAAACTTCTATTCAATATAAACCAGTTTATTTTGTTAGCTGCTTGCTTGTGGTCTTGCTGATGTGAGAGGACCTAATTTGCTGGCATGAAGGCTTAAACATAAACTAGAATCTAATCAGCTTCCCTAGCTCTTCTTGTAACTAAAACTGGAGGCAGCAGTTTCTAAACCTCTACACTGCTGCCTCCAGTAATCCAATAACAGTTTCAGCTGGAATTCTAAACCATGGGTTTAAGCTTTCAGTGCTTCTTTTGAAGTGTCAGCTTGACTGTGAGTAATCCACGAAGTGTGTTTATGTAAGATTGTATTTGGGAGCATCGTGGATGACTCTAGCTAGACCCCTTCATAAAGTAAATCTGACTGGAGTTCAGAGGAAGCTTTCAAAGTGTGTTAAAGCTGTAACTTCATTTCACTGTTTTAGGAAACTGGTCCAGATGGAGATTCCTGTGTCGTGTGCTTTGAGCAGTACAAGCCAAATGATGTGATGCGTGTTCTGACTTGCAAGTAAGTTGTTTTCCAGGCTGGCCCTTTATCCAAAATTCTGCCATGTTTGTTAACAAGCTTTCCTCAAGTTGTTGTACAGTGAGAATTCTTGAATATCTATCAAAACAATGTTTTGAACAACAGAAACAGTGTGAATACACAATTGCGGTGTGCCCCCATGGCCTGTGTTCATCACTTCCCCTGTGAGTGGAGTGACACACATAGCTTGGCAGGCCACAGTGTCCCTCAGTGGGATGATAGGACTTTTTAATGATTTCTTCCTTTGCTGGTGTATCAGAATTACTTGCAGGTAATTGGCAAAATGTTGCCTGTTTCTTGTCCCTTACATTACTGTTTACTAGAGGGTTGTGTTTCTGCTAAATTTGTTAAAACATGCTGGCTTTTGTAGTTTAGAAGAAAGCATTTTTATTCTTGTATGCCTCATCTGAAACAGAGACCAAGATAGAGCTATAGCAGTTTATTTTTCTAGAGTTCTCTCCTGTTGTACCTCACTGCTGTGCTGCTGTGGAAGCCCAGTAGTGAAGCACTAAGGCTTTAATGTGATTGCTCCTAAGGTGAGCAATGAAGCTGCCCCAGGGCTTAAGGAAACTTGTTCTGTGGGATTTCCCTCTGTGCCTGCTGGCTGGGACTGCTCTGGCCAAGCTTCTAAAATCAGAGGGCTGCCACATGAACTGCCTGAATTGTGCAAAGGAAGAGGTGTCATGACCCTCAGGGAGGGTTACAGAAAGTACTTGAAAACATTTTGATGGAAATTTTGTAAGAAATGAAGTTATGAAGAATAGAAAAATGGGTAGCTGCTGTTGTGTGCTGAGCAGTGCTGTCAAACACTGGCAAATCTCAGCTGCAGTTACCTGTGCACCAGGTTACAGCTTTGCAAAGGCTTTCTCTGCTCACAAGCAGTAGGACCTCTAAGCTGTTTTGGTAATACAAAGTTGGTCTGCTAAGGTGTTATCAACCAACTCCCTTGATCTAATGCTTAATACTTTAAAAAAAACCCAAAACTGAACAACCTTTCAGGCATGTATGTTAATGATTATCCAGTTGTCTTGTCATGTTTATGCTCATAGGTAATTTTGTTTAGAAATGGACTAAGTGCCATGAGTACACAAACTTGTAGACAGGCTCCAGACACTTTGCCTGATAGGAGACCTGACTTCTCATTATTTCCCTATAAACCCTTCTAATCTTGGCATGAACCTGCAAACAATGCATGACTTATTTGGGTAAGAGTGGAGTAACATCTTTTGATTGTGTTCTTTGTACACAAATTTGCTGCATTTCCTCTTGAGACTGCTTTTACATACATTTGTGATGTTTCCTTCCTCTGTGGCCCAAATGCAGCTCTCAGAGGCATGCTAGCTTAAAATTACTCATGGACTTGATAATCCTCACATGTGGTGATATCTTCAAGTGTCAACTATATTAATTTTCCCTCATGTGAGTTATAAACTAATATTTACTGCAAGAACATGCTTGATTTTGGTGGTTGGCCTCAACACTGAGACACTACTTGCTGGAAGCATTTAACTATATCTATGAAAGAACCAATCAAAGGAATGTTCCTATGAATCACATTGATGGTATCTGAGTCCCTGGGGTGTGGGTATTTGCCAAGGGCATTCTTGCCCAGAGAGTCAAACTGAAGGCATTTATAGATGCAGAGGTACACAAGTCCAGTATTAAGTTCAAGGACTTAAAATAGTCAGGCATTAGGAAAGTTTCAGGTTTTATACCAAAAATTATGTGGGTGCAGCTGGAAGGAAGTGCCAGTGGTGTGAGCTGAATTGGAGAATCCTTGGATCCTGCTGAGTGTGGGCTGCTGAGCACTGGATCTTTGCACTTACCTCATAATAGGGTTGATTAATACTGAGCAGTGCTTGTTTGCCTTGCTGTTTCTATTCAGGCTGAGGGAACAGGCAGATCATAGGATTTCAAGTCATCCTCCTAAATCTGTGGCCTAATTTAAACCCATTGTGGAATTGAGTGTCTTAATAGAAGCACACATTTGCATCTGTGATGGCTGAGCTATATTTACTTTCTTGAGTGTAGAGCCTGCCAAATATCCACTTAGAATACACAGTGGTTGCACAGACACAGTAAATGGGTGGGAGTACAGTTTATCTTCAGGACATAACTCTGTGAGATGATTTGCCTATGTAATTACAACAGAAACAAATGCTATTTTGTCTACATCTGTATGACAGAAGTTAACTTTGGAGCTAAGGCTGAGATGTCCATAGCTGTATCATTTAAATTATCTGGAAATGTATTGTACACAGTTTTGGAGAAACAGCTTTAGACTGTTGAGGTGTAACAAAAATGTTAATGCTGAATTATAGCAAGTTGTATTGGGGTACTAATAATCACAAACCAGCTACAGGTTGAAAGATCAGCTATCCATAACTTTCAGCTGAAACTTGTGGCAAAATAAGGTCATCCATTCTAGAAGGAATAAATCCTTGGTGTTACAAAAGGGTCCTTCATAGCTGGCACATGAGCAATCTTCCTAGAATGAAACTTAACCTGTTGGCTGCCTTCTTCCCCCAGCCATGTCTTCCACAAGACCTGCATTGACCCCTGGCTTCTGGAGCACGGGACGTGTCCTCTGTGCAAATGTGACATCCTCAAAGTGCTGGGTGTTGAGGTAAGCCAGCAGCCTGCCATGGTGGCAGCTGCCAGTCACAGTGTTACACTGGTTGTGCCACTCCTTCAGCTTTTTCATGCTGTCTCTGGAGTGCAGGTGATAACACAGGTGTGCCATGTCTGTGGCCAGATGGTATAGGAGTAATTGTGGTGCCCCTTTTAGGGAAGCCTGCAGCTGACCTGGTGAGTTGGTGTCACCTAAAGGCTTGGGCAGAATGTCAGCCAGAGCTGACTCATGCCCGATGGAAAAATTGCTCTTAACTCTTGTGCTCACAGCTAAGGGTGTTTCACAAATCTCCAGGCAGGCTTTGACAACTCATACTGTCCCTGAAACCAGCTTCTCTTAGTTGCTGAGTACCCAGAACCCTTGAAAAGTGAATGTATTAGCAGCTATGACATTTCTGGAACTGCATGACTTCCTAGGATACATCAGGAGTTTGATTTGCTCTGTAATTGCTCATTGTTGCAAGTGCCAGAGGAAGATGCTGTTGCCAGTGCCTGATGCTGCCTGGACCAGTTAAACTGTGAGCCAGCATTTGTCTGGAGGGGCAGATATCTGCACTGAGAGTGGAAGGAAGCCTTTTCCTGATACTGGGTAAAAATGCACAAGCTGTGTCTGAGCTTCCCACTCAATTAGGCAGTAACTGGATTTCCCCTCTGATAAGCAGAGCTTTTATTCCATTTCACGTTTTTCTCTCTGTGTAAAAGTGCTCCGAACTCCATCCTTGCAGGCATTGTTCTCCCAGAAAGATGCACCCTCCTGTCAAGTTGTAATTTAACCATTTTCTCTTTTTTTCACATAGATGGATGTAGAACCACGCTCTGAGCCTGTGCAAGCCTCAGGATCCAGTGGCCAAAGACCTCTATCCACTGTCACTATAGTTAATGAAGAGGACAACCTTAGTGAAACAGCATCATCTGGATATGATTCTGTGCAGGGACCAGATGAATCTGCTCAGGAGGCACAGGCACCATCAGAAAGTATGTCTGCTCTTTCATCTGCCTTGCTACGTCATTTGCACTTGGCTGCTTAGGCTGTGAGTTAGGGCGAGTTGCCTTCATAGCATCTCACAGGGCTTGAATACTTTGTTTTTCAGGGTTATCTTAGTCTTCCCTTTTGTTTTAGCCCTTAGCTCTGACACTTGGTCTTTGTTTTCAAATGAAACACAACTTTAATGTGAATTAAAAGCCAAAGTCTATGGAAGAATAGTTCAAAGTCAGAGGCTTACTACTTCAAGAGCAAAGAGATTTTTCCAAAGATGTCCCTTGTCCCTTTGTCTCTTTGGAGATTTCATTTGGATGAGTGAGTGTTGCTTTGCTACTAGATCTGTCTGTTTTAAGTAGTTACTTACAAAAAACTTGTGGGGAGTCACTCTTGCTCTAGCTGAGATGGTGCAAGATAGAGAAGACAGATACTTCAATTGAATTTCAGATTTGCCAAGGCTGAGTCATCCTTGGCTACAGAGAGTGTTAATTTGTGAAGAATATCAGATTTTCCAAATACTTTATCTTTTTGAACAAGAGCAAACAAATTGGAAATGTCTTTTTAGTGCTCAGCTTTACACACACGCGTGCACACACACACACACACACGTACTCAGTGTTGCTCTTGGCTTTAAAAATTGAAAGGTTGCAGGTAAACAAAGGAAAGTAACCATCCCCTGAGCTGTGGCATGGCCTTAGGAAGAGGATGCTCCATTTCCCATGGGAAGCCTAGCTGGTGGGAAAATTTGGGATTTGCTGCCTGTCTCCTACAGGACATGTTGCTACAGCAATGGTGTGTGTTTGGGAGTGCCCTGTTGAAGCACCCAGTGGGGAAGAGGATATTTCCTGTGAGCTAAACATCAAAAGTTGAAATTGCATCCCTCTAAACAACTCAGGGCATGCTGGGCCATTACATGACATGGGTCATTCTCACTTGAAGTGGGAAGGACACACAGGGACATCAGTCAGACAAGGTTAGTCTGCAGGGAGGAGGCCTTCTCCAAGTCAGCACAGGTTCCCCTCAGTTTATCCTGAGCCTGGTCTCTAGGAGTTGCTCTTGATGCCTGCCTTCAGCAGCCTTAGGGTACAAGAGCAGCTAATATCCTCCTAGTTGGATTCTGTGGCTTATGCACACAAGTTCAACTTGCTCAGCACTACTGAGCTGAGCAGGCATCTCCAGAAAGGACAGGCAGTGGCTCCCAAACTAACAAGGGGCACCAGGAGAGAGGTGGTTGGAGTATGGCCTTGGATTTCCATCTCTGCAGGAAAATGCAGTTTTTTAAGCTTTTGCAAATCAAGTTTGTGTGGTTTGCTTTAGGATGGTAACACTTGGCTGGGGCACTTTTTAACCTGTCTCGGCTTGGTTTTCTTCTGGACAGGTGACAACACACATCCTGTGAGTGAAGAACCCCAGCCCTCCACTGTGACTGTCCTTTCACATGGTGACAACCCTGGTTTTGAGGGAGATGAAACACAAGTTTCTGAAAGCAGAGTTGTTCATGAAGCCACGTCCTAAGAACATGCCCAGCCACGTGGTGCAAGCCTTCTGCAAGGAGCTGCCTACTGCCATTCCATATTAACCAAAAGTTGCAAGACTGCTGCAGAAAATACTGCATTGGCAATGTTTAGATAAATAGACCTGTCCAAATTGTAATTGTATGGTTTGCCTTTCTTAAAACTGTATTTCCCACAGGAGTCTTAACGCTCTCCAGATAAAGCTGTCTTAAACATAAAGAAAACCAGCAGATTTTAACTAAAACAAAAATTCCATCTTCAGCAAAGCTTCTCTACCATGTTTAAGTGAGAAGATTTTTTACGTTTCCTAGTTGTCTCCACTGGGAATTGTTTTGAGTTGGGGCTTTTTGTTGTTTGTTATTTTCATTCAAGTGGATTTTCATTGTCAACAAATTTATTTTGATTGTTCTGATACTTATTTATGAGACAGTTTTGTTTAAAGCAACATGGTATTTAATGTTTCAGTGCACTATTTTGATAGGAGAAAGTGCAAACTAATGCTTGTCAAACTGGATTTTGTCCACAGTATCTTTGGTTCTCTAGTAACCGACTGATTCTCTACCTCTCAACTCCAGCCTGCCAACACACATTCCTAAAGGGGAAGAAAAGAGAGCTGCAAGCTGACAGGCCAAATCTCACTTACTGTAAAGGGAACAACTGCAGGAACTTTTCAAACCTCGTTAGTTTGTCAGTCTGAAAGATCCTCAAGTGATTTGAGGAGCTGTGACCATCTCTAGCACCAGCAATGTGGCAGAGTCCTGGCTTTGTGGGAGTCTGGGATGACTTCAGGAAAGACTCAGCTGAAGATGAAAAGGTAGTTCTTATGAAAGCATCTGCTGTGTTTTGCTCAGAAATGATCCAGTCTCTGAAAAATGCTGACTGTTGCTCTACATTGTCTTGCTCAAGTGCACAAGCTGCAGGGAGAGCTGATGTCCTGTGAGTGTAACAGAGGGCTGGAGAAGCTGTCTGTCCTCTGTGGAGTTGAGATGGGGTCAAGTAGGAACACTGGGTGCCTCAATAGAACTGACTTGGCTTGTCCAGGGAAGGTAAATAAGGACATCTTCTAAATGCACTTTATTTTTTTACCTCTGCATCTTTGACTAGTTTCTATTTAGTAGGATTTTGTCTTAGAGCCTCCAATAAATACCTTAAGAATCTGGGGGGAAAAGCAATGCATTTTCTTAGCTATAGTACAAATGAAATGGTTGTAAATATTTCATAATTTGTATTGAATTTGAATATGAAAATGTAAGTGTAAATAAAACACTATTTTTGATGATCCCGACTGACATAAAATATTATCAGCTCTCATGGAAGCAGATGCTGAATTTGCCCTGTCCCACAACCTTGAAACACATCCTTCTTTTGGGAGGCCAAATAGAAGCAGTGTTTGCTCAAAGTAATTGGAATAAGGAGTGCTAGTTACCTGCAGGATGCTGCTGTTATATGGATTGAAATTGTGTTGAGATGCTGAAACCTAGTAGCTGTAAGGAAAATCCAGCCACCTTAGGATGTGTTCAGTGAGCTGCTGAATTGTGCTGGTAGGCATGTTCAGCACAAGGCAGTCTGCCATGGGAACTTCAGACCAGACTGGCAGCATCTCACTTTTCCTTTGTCAGGTTGCTCAGCATCCCTTCCTTACTCCAAAGCCTATGTTTGCTTTGAGGAAAAAACATTTTAAAGTTATTTCTTGTCTTCTGTTCTGGCTGGCTTGGGAGCAGTTAAGTCTTGTATTTCCTTATAGCTCAGTTTCAAGTCTAGTCTAGAAAATACCAGTTGGCTCTGAGCTCCAGTTGCAAAGCTGACTATAATCAGACTCCACTCTGAAGCTATCATTTGCTATGATTGCCTTTTTATTCTACCTCTGAAGTGCAGAGCAGTGAAAGGAACAGCCAAGCAGCAAATATGCAGCCCCTGATCACTTCATTCCATTTCTATTTCACAAAGTTGGTATAAATTTATTGTGGTGTGTAAGCTGCAATGTAGTAGAATCTTATGAGGGTACAGACTCAAGAAATCATCTGCCAGTTTTGTGTTCAATAGGAGCAAAATCTGATGTTCAAGGAAAACAAGGGAAGGGATTCAGATCAATTCAATACATTGAAAGGCACTTTTTGGGTTGCTTTGTTTATAGAATTCAAGCTTTACATTTGCTGCCTTTTTAGAGCAACAAACTGCCTTTCCCCAGGACTTGCATTTCTAAGGGAAAGGTGAATGCAGAGCCCTTTCTCAAGGGATGCACCAGGGGAGAACTGGGGGGTGCAGAAGCTCCCATGGATGAACCTTCCAGGATCAGATGAAGTCTATGTGATGTCTCTAGCCAGGCTTGCTTGGGGCACTTACACTAATTTTCAGAGAGAGATTTATTTCAGAAGGAAATTTTCAGAGGGATTCTCATATCAAATGTGACCACTGCTAAAGGAACACGTGCAGGGTCAGTGCCTGAGCAGTGTGTGAGCTACTGCAAGTCTGCCACGTTCTTATCTGTGCAGATTGGTTTGTAATTAGTAGCTATGCAAGGGATTTGGTTTAAAAATGAAAGTGAACACCATCTTGATACTAAACTTGGGTGAACACCTTCACGAGCACTATTTTGATACTAAACCTGGGTCTGTTGCTGCCAGACTGCCTTAAAGAAATTTGAAAGATCCACTGTCACTTTTTTGTATTTCCAAGTTCCATGGATAGCAGCTGTCTTACCAACCCTACTTAGGGGACTGTGCAGCAAAATGTTCACTTGGTTTTGGTGATGCCACAGGTTAGAATGTCTCTGGGTCATGTGTATTTATGTTTGTGTGTGTGTGTGTGCTGTGGCATGACAGACTCTTTCCTCTGAGCAAGAAGCCAACAGGAGTGTGCCTGGGGCTAGGGTTGTTCCTGAAAAGCAATAAAAACCTGCTGTTATTGTGCAATAGTTTTGGGGTTTTCTATAGATATGCTATTGCTCATGTGTAAGAAAATGGACATAATGAGCCCACAGGTGGTGCAGTTGCTAAAATGTCTGCCTGTTGACTGTGTTAGTATTCTCTCTGAGTCACACAGGCATGTCAATTCTTCTGTCCTCAAAGAGCAAACTGAACAGGCTCTGGCATCACTCCAAGTGTTTGCTCACTCCTTCAGGGAAAGGGAGGGAGTTACCCCTGTCCCTCAGGAATGCTCTGATCTAAACACTTCAGTCAAACACTTGTGTGCTCTCAAAGAGGGACTGGGAGAGTTTTTTATCCCTGCAGGAGAGGAAGCCTTGGTGCTGGATTACTGTGCTCTCTTGTAATTCAGGCTTTACAATAGCAGGGCTTCATTCTAAATTTCAAATCAAAATCATACAGTTTTCTCATCTTGAGGAAAATTTTCAGGTGTCCCTATAGAAATATAGTTTCAGGTGAGAATTTTGTTTAGAGGAAAAAGCAGGACTTGTGATGAAGGCTGCAAACATATAAAAGCAGTTTGAGTCATCAGGGCAGTTGGGCTCCTCATAAAATGGAGAGATTTAGTCCATCTCAGTCTTCAGAGGGAAAATTCTGCACTTCTCAAGTGACCTAACAGTTGGACATAATAAATAAAGACATCTACCCTGCCTGTGTGATTTAATGTAATTTCTTTCCATGTTTAACACACCAGCACAGAAGGTAGCCCTGCCTTTTCCCTCAAGTTTAGACTGATGCCTTTCCTGTGCACATGTGATTGGGGCTCCTCTCCTGCAGGCATGTAATGTCTGCAGTTTGGAAAAGATTAAAGGAAATGGATCTACTGGCTTCAGCAATTAATTTTGGTTTCAAGAGAAAATTGAAATCAAATTGTAGTGTTCATATACAGTGAACTAAAAATTATGTAATACTCCTAGAGCAACTCTGCACTGGTTGTTCAACTGCAGGTAATACAGAGCAAAGCCAACATTTATTTATTTAGCTATTTATTCATGTAATCTTGACATGGTTATTTGAGGGAAGTAATTTAATATTTCTAGGATAAGTCTTGAATAAGTGAATGAAAAATTCTGCAGCACTAAATAGATCTGTGTTGCTGCAGAAGGCATTGATTACACTGTAGCACGATTGTGCACTGATTAAGAAGGTTTTCAAGTGGCTATAAATAAATTCCTCCATGCCCATAGAGGAGCACTCTTTGCATCTGAACAGTATTTGATTAAGAATCCAGTGCCTGAGGGAACTGGAAAAGAGAAAGACATTCAAGACTTTGAAACATGGTGAGAAATACAAAACAGACATTTTCCAAGCAGTAGTGTTTTACTGTTAAATATTAACCAATTAACAAAGTTTGAATGTTATATAAGGAAGTAACACATGTCCTAATGTGTCCAGTGTGTGTGTGACTCACCAAAAGGCAAGGTGAGAAATGCCAAGGGCATCTCTCCTTAAAATTAGCATCTCCTTAGAATTAGAAGATGTGTGTTAGGTCCTTAATTTCCTGTATCCAGGGGCTTGTCTAATTGGGGAAAAATTAAATGGTAAACACTCTCTCAGGGAATGCTCTTTGAGGAGCAGGATCCATGCAGGAATCACTCAATCAGTTCAGCTGGTAAATCCCCAGCAATGTCGTTACTGTGGCTCCAGAGGGGAGATTGGAGACTCTGCCTCATGAAGAGCTGGGTGCCAGGGTATCAGGGACTCTCATTAATGTTTGATTTGTGTTAGTTACCATGTGCTGGCTAATGACTTTTATTTTATTTTTCCATTCTAGTAAAGATAGACCACCAGAAATCTGTTGTTTCCTCTTCTGTTATAAAAACAAGTAAAAGAATTGCAATAGTTAAATCTATATCCAGTCCCCAAAGTACAGCTCTTCAATTCTACAGCTTCCATTGCTGTGGTGCAATGAGTGACTGAAAAGGAAAAAAATCATCCAGTTTTGAAGCTTCCTGCGAGTTAAATGTGATTGCACACTCGGGTCTGCTTTCACACCGCTCCTTTCGTAGGTGATTGCTTGTGCAGCTGGAAGCAGATGGGCATTGCCAAATAATTTCTGTGGCTGTTTGGCAAAACCTCAGTGTGCCTGTGCTCACAAATAGCCCAGTGCTGGCAGCAGCATTTTTGGTAGTGAAGTACTA